CCAAGCACTCCCTCCTCCCTCCCACGTTGGGGGGGGTCACCCCCCCGGCTGGCCCCGTCTCTGCCCTGCTCCGGACACGGCTCCCCCAGCTGGCGTGGGGGGCACTGGGGCCCATCCCTTTCTGCTGCTTGTGCCGGACAGCCCCGTGGGGTCTGGTTACATTGCAGGGGGAGCCCAGATCTCCTACGCTCGTGTGTAACCCCAGGCCTGGGGCTGCTCAGCCCCCCACCCCCGTGTTGATGGGACCCCGAGGGGCAGGCGGACGGCGCCCATCCCTGGCCGGAGCCCGCACAGCCGCACTACAGCCCACCGGCAGGGAGGGGTTCCTCCCTGATCAGAGTCCGCAGTGCCCAGAGCAGCGGGCCCACGCCCTCATAGAGAGCAGCGTTCGGAGAGGCTCCCTCATTGCCGCCTGCCCTGAGCCCTGGGCACCTCTCCCTGCCCAGCCTGCTCGGCGTCGGGGGGCCGGGGGTGTCTCGTGGGGGCCGTGCCCGTGGCTCTCACTCCAGCCTGTGGCGGGTGGGCCCTGGAGGACGATGGGTGCGCCTGGGGGCTGTGGAACCAGGAGCTCCTCGTGCACACTCTGGGCAGAGGCCTTGGGCCCGGAGATTCCCCGGCAGAACATCCCTGGGGCAGGGAGTCCTCGGGAGCTGAGCCCCTGGCCTGGGCGGCGGCGACGGCATCGCCCTGCCCAGCCTTTGGAGGGGCACTGAGAGCAAAGGGGCCCTGGAGGACGATGGGTGCGCCTGGGGGCTGTGGAACCAGGAGCTCCTCGTGCACACTCTGGGCAGAGGCCTTGGGCCCGGAGATTCCCCGGCAGAACATCCCTGGGGCAGGGAGTCCTCGGGAGCTGAGCCCCTGGCCTGGGCGGCGGCGACGGCATCGCCCTGCCCAGCCTTTGGAGGGGCACTGAGAGCAAAGGAGGCACCCGGCGTCAGACCGCACCTCTCTGCTCCCCGCAGGTGCTGGAGCAGGCTGCCGAGGTCCTGGGCCGTGCCAGCCAGCCGGCCGTGTGCGGCGAGGTGCTCCTGTCCCCTGCAGGGATGGCGTATGTCTCGGGTACGAGGGCCTGGCGTGGCTGCGGGGACGCTGTGCCCCTTCCAGGGCGTTCGAGGCCAGGCCAATGAGCCTGGGACAAGACATGGCCAACGGGGACCAAACCCAGGCCTGTCCCACCCCAGCTACAGGAAACTGGCTAAGTCTGACGTCCCAGCTGGCCCAGGCGCGGAGCTGGGCTCAGAGCCCGGCCCCTGCCCGGCCCGCGCTGGAGGAAGCGGGTTTCCAACAGACACACGTCCCCAAATGCACGTCTCCGCTCTGTGCCAAGGCGGCAGGATCCGGGCCAGGGCTCCTCTTGCGGGCTAGCTGGGCGCTGGCCATTGGCCGCTGCCTGAGGCTGCCGGCGGGTTGCGGCCCAGCAGCCTGCTCCCGGAAGCGGGGCTGCGTGGTGGCTATGTGGACTGTTGCTCGGGCGGGTTTCTGTGCCCTCCTGCTCCAAAAGGGGTCTGTGCCCTCACGCTCCGGGGGGGTGGGTCTGTGCCCTACACAATGGGGGCGGGAGGGCCACGGGTTCCTCTGGAGCTGCACTGGGCTGGGTGGGACGTGAGGGTCATTGGCAGGGGGCAGCACCGGGGCACTGGGCTGGGTGGGACGTGAGGGTCATTGGCAGCTGTAACTCTGGGAGGCCCTGCCCCGCGCACGTTCCCAAAGCGGGCCCCTGCCCCGTTGGCCTCTGCTGCTCTGGAGCCAGGACCCCGCTTGCCTTCCCGGGGGCTGGCCGAGGGTGCAGGCGGCACCGGGCCGCGCGCTGCCCTGAGACAGAGCCAGGCTGTCTGCTCTCCCTGACGCCCCTTCCCTGGTGGGCAGGCTTGGCTGAAGTGTACCGGGTCTCTCGGAGAGTGGCGAGCGGGGCGCGGGTCCCGCGCCACGGCG